TGTCAGCTTAACTCAGTTACATATATAGGGTCATATAGAGTGTATCAGTTATTTTCACTCATAATTTTGAATCAAAGAATAGAAATTTTCTCTATTTTTATAGCATATAATTCCACATCTTAATTTTGAAATGATTATATAGCCATAGAAAACTATTTAAAGATTGTTTCCATTATCACAATTTCCCTATTAACACTATATACCTTATTTTACATAGAACATTGCACTAATAATTTTAGTCATTTGTGTCTGACTTTCTAATGTTTGCTCATTATTTTTTTTTGCCACAGAATTGAAAGGTACACTCACCTCTCTAAGTTAAAGGTTTAGACCATTTAACTACATGAGTTAATAAAAAGAAATATAATTAAATGTAAATAATAAGTGTTAGAGTCATATATCTCAAAAGGCTTCCTGAGGAGAGAAGGATGCTGCAGCATATAAATCTGAAAAAAAGAAAAAGAGCTCTATATTGTGAGGAAAAATTCACAAAGCTTTCAGTCTTTTCAGCAGCAATAATTAAAAATAAAATAAAATAAAATAAAATAAAATAAAATAAAATAAAATAAAATAAAATAAAATAAAATAAAACAAAATAAAACAAAATAGGCCAAAACAGACAATAAATTATATTATTAGATGTTAAAACAGATGTGAAGATCTAGATTGAAGATGATTTTTTGTAGTGATCCAGATAAGCTTTTGATGTTATAAAGAAGATAAAATGTATGTGTTCCATTAGTAACCTCCTTTAAATAAACAAATAAATTTTTGAAAAAAGAGCTGCATCTCATTAAGAACCATATAGTAGAGTCAGTTTTATATAAATTGTTTTAAATATATTATGTTCCATGTCTCAGTATTATTTCCTGCACTTCAAAAGCTATTTTCATAGTAAAATCCATCAGTCCATTCTCCAAGTAAATTTGTTAGAAAATCATTATGCACTTTTTGAGCCTTTTTGTCACAAATACTTAAAAACATAAAAAATGGCAGATACACTGTCAAGATTGTACTCTAGACCAGAAAATTATGATTAGTGAAGTCCATTGTAAACAAAAGGTAGGAGATCTAGACAGCAAAATCATATCAAATATATATATTAAAAAAAAAAAAAAAATCTGAGCATCTTATTTCTCCCTCGCAAAAGTAAGTTTTTTTTGTCAGAGGAAAACTAAAAGTTCTTGAAGATCAGAAGGATCCAGTCATAGGAAGGGTGTGAAGAATTCAGCTTGACTTGTTCCTGCTTCCATTTTCCCATTAGGCAAGTAGTTAAAACAGATGTCCCTGCACTCAGCATGAAAGATCTGCCCTTTCCTGTATTTCTGAGAGAAGAAAACAAAGATGTCATTGACTGATGTCAATTTAACATAAAAGATAAGGTAGACATCCTGAAGGGAGGACAAGGATGGGAGTAGGGTTAGCAACTTCAGTCTCAAGGGATGATCCTGCAAGCATCACCTTCAGTTCACAAGGAAAATGGAATTAATAGAATTTAAAGAAGCCACCTCAGAGACTACAGACACTAAGCTGTATTAAAACTACATGTGGTTCTGCTTCTCAATAAGATGTCAGAAAAAGGCATATATTGATTGAGAAGAAAAATTTACTACAAAATTATCATTCACAAGAACAAACAAGTGAACCTAAGTATGGAGAAAAGTGGCAAGTCTCTGTGCCAAAAATTCCACAGACAAAAACTACTAAAACATATCAGTAGCTGTTTACACTGGAATCTTCCCATGAAAGTCTCTGGGCCATATTCCTGGATGTCTTAAAAAGTTGTAGCTTGCTTGTGCAACAGGCTTGAGATATCTGCTTGTAGAATGAGTTCTAAACACTCTTCTGACAGGCCTGAGCAAAACAGACCTCATGAGAGGTTAACCCTAACCTAACCCTAACCCTAAATGGCTGTTTCTAACCCTAACCTGGCCTAACCCTAATATGACCTGCTTGAGCTTTATACTGTTCATATAAATAAATATGAGTGACAACTGAATTTATAATTGACAGCAAGTTCACAAAAGGCCTCACTGGCAGTTTTGCCATCGCTGATGAGATAACACAACTCTTAAGAAATTAAATATGAGCATTCAGGTTTTGCTGAATTTGTTTCACATACTCCTTAGTGTGGCCTAAAAGACACAGAAACCAAAAAGTTAAAAGAGGAAGTAAGAAGGGAAGGAGTGGGTGCGGCACAATGGAGAATAACATCATGAGGTAGAGAAAGAAGAAGAAAAGAACACAAACATTTTAAATTATGGATACCTTATGGGTAACCATGCAAAAATCATTGTCCTCTCTGGACATGTTTAAAATATTTTCCAGGGGATCAATTAACTCCAACATTTCTATTAAAAGAGAAATATAATTTATTGAGAAATTGCTTTTCTGTAGAAAGAGATACCAAAACATGACAATGCAACCTGAAAGAAATTTCATGCTATCCTCAGAGGCTTCATTTCATGCTATCCTCAGAGGCTTCATATCCTTTCCTCCATCTCCAAGAATGGACCTGCATTTCTCTCTGGATAGCAAAAGCATAGTATTAATCCACTGTTAACACAAATTGGGAATAATTGGTATGGTTGTTTAACAGAGAGAGACACAAGAAAACTGGATTGCAGTGACTTAGTGAAAAGCTGAGGAGACAGATGGCTGACTGGGACCAAGGTCTTTTTTGTCTGTATTGATAGCAAACTGATAATGCTGAATCCAGTCAGAATAGAAATCTGACCAGATTCAGTCCTGGCATAGACACAAAGACAGCGGGAACAACATCTGTTTACAGCAGCTGAATTTACACTCAGGTTCTTTTTCATCTATTGCTTGAGAATATTCTCTTTTCAAACTACATAATTGCAAATGATGCAACAGAAAAAGTTCTGAAAGGTTTAAAGTTCAATAAGCTCTTATGGTTCTTATGGTTTGGATATAAAATGCAAAGATTGCTGTTTTATAATAAGCACCATGACATTATTTGTTATAGTAATTATAAATAAATATTAATGATTAATCTTCATTATATCATTGGCTTGATTTAAGACTGGAAAAGATCCCAAATATAAAAAGTAGTATATTTTTAGTAGTCATGCAAGGCAAGCACAATTTTGTTCAAGAGAGTAAGGCAAAGTCAGCAGGAATCTAAACTGAACACATTAAACTGATGATTATGTCAGTAAAAAATTTATACATGCAGATTCTTCACTATATGCTAGAAAGAAGTTGATAGAACTATAAAAATGATATCATCTTAATTTTCCTTTTTTTTTTTTTTTAAGAACTTTTAAGAACTCCAGTTTCTTTAGTCTGAGCTGTTCTAATCAGTGGTAGCCATATTTTATACTGATAGCCCAACAAACACAACATTTTTCTATCCATTATTTCAGAAATTCTGTATCTTTGAGTCAGATTTTCACTGCAATATCAAAGAGATATAATTCTGTCTGACCAAGAGCATGAAAAGGATAATTTCAGCATTGTCAAAAAAAAAAAAAAAAAAAAAATTATAAACAAGTCAGACAGAAACCGAAAGACTTCTTGCACCAATTTCCCTGAAATGAATCAAAGATTTTTTTGGTCTAGTGCCTTTAGTAGTGTATCACAGAAATGTAGAAATAATCTCTAACAAATCATATTTTGAAATAGAGATTATATTGTTACCAATATCTTGATTTTTTTCTTTACATTTTTGTTCCAGACACAATTTGGTGCTGACCATACTTCAGCAAATAGTCTTGATTATAGCCTTCCTGAAAAACTCATATTTATGTGAGCCATTCTTGATGTATTTTTAACTTTAATTATATCTAGAATCCTTTCTTGACATTTAGGCGCATGAGAAAACATAGAGGTATATACTAAATACTAATCAAATAAAATGTTGAATGTGTTAAATGGGTGTAAGTTGAAACACAGGAAGTTCCATCTCCATATGAGGAAGAACTTCTTTACTGTGAACGTGACAGAGACATGGAACAGGCTGCCCATGGAGGTTGTGGAGTCTCCTTCTCTGGAGGTCTGCCAACCCACCTCGATGCCACCCTGTGCTCCACGCTCTGGGTGTCCCTGCTGGAGCAGGAGGATTGGACTAGATGATCTCTAGAGATTCCGTCCAACCTTAAGCATTCTGTGATTCTGTGATTCTGTGAGTTCAGGATAACCCAGAAGTTTAAAACAGCGTGTATGCTTACATATTTTTATCACTCAGGGCCTAGAACCATCTTTGTGCTATTCTAATATGTTTTTACTATAGTATTTACAGTTTCAGAATAATTTCTAATAAAACAAAAATGAAATACAGAAATACTTTGATTATTTAACTTTTTTGTTCAACTATCCCAGGAAGGACCTCTGACAAAAAAAAAAAAAAAAAACTTTGTACTAGAATTTGTACAGGTGAGGTAGCTGGATCTCTGAAGAGTTTTAAGAATAAGAACAACAAGCTTAACAAACTCTTTTGTATCCCTTTCCAAGATCTCCTGATACATTTTAAATGATCCATAATTTGGAGACAAATTTTTCCACAACGACTTTATAAGGCTTCATACAGAAACGGAGCAGTGTCACCAAATGGTTTCTGAAATTGAATTAGACTTTCACCAGGTTCTGTAACTTTCTGCTTTTTAAACTGTCAGGTTCAAATTGGTCTTAGTCACAGTGCATCCCTACTGATTATACATACTAGAACCAGAGTCATGACTTTATTTCATGCCATCAAGTATTTTCTTCCAGGAATCAATTTAGGGAATCACATAAAAGCATACTGATATCTACTTGACATACACAAATCAAAATACACTCAAATGAAATTGTAYAGTATTGGTTATTTCATAGAGATGTCTACAATGCAGTACAAAAAGCAGTTGCACTATGTAAATAAATCATTTAAATAACAATTAGCTATTGAGCTATAAAAACTAGTATAAATGTGTAAAAGTTACACGCACTCTATGTAAGCTTTTGTGTTTTTCAAAGCAAAACCAAAATGTTTAACTTACCTTATTAGTATTGATAGCAGTGATGACCCACACACACTGAGCATTGCTGTCATACTGAAATGGAAAATTTGGTGATGTGAAAGTGCCTCCAGGACCCTGAAGACTGGATCCACAAGTCTTGACTGCAAAAAGAAGATTCATCTTACAATTTACACACAAAATAGACAACATTTGTTTTATGAATCTGCTAAGGTTGATACTAATCGGCATTTAAAGGATCAAAACATTTTTGACCAAAAATAGAACAAATACAAGATAATTGAACACCCCTCTTGTGTTCAAGCTTTTTATCTAAACCAAACCACACACACACACACACACACACACACACACACAAACATGAACATTCAAAGGAAAAGACAGATTACACAAGGAGAAACTCTTTGTTCCATTTATTTTTAAAGAAACACTTTCATTTAAGAAATACCTAGTGTCATTAATTCCACAACTATCTTGAAAAACAAGATTATATACGAGAAGATAAAGATCACTCTAAACAGGGTGTAATTTTTATTTACTGGCATACAGCTAGATCAGCATTTTTTTCCTGCTATTACCACTTTCTGTGAAGTGATTCCTATTGAACCAATTGAAACAATGACAATTTTAGAGGAACTTGTAAAATTCAGTCCTCATAAACATAAACAGTAGAAATATTTCTAAAGACTCCTATGTACATTCATCTACAAATCAAGATCTGTATGATCTTTTATAGTAGAATATAATTAGAAATGATAGAAATGATACCCTTATTCTTTTTAGGTTGTGTATTAAAAAAAAAAAAAAAAAAAAAAAAAAAAAAAACAGAATATGTAGAGCTATTTGTGCTGGTAAACGATACTCCTTAGGCAGTAAAATTCTAGCCTGATGAAGCAGTGAAAGGTCTACTGTCGGCTCCTTGATACTCAAATCCTTCCTAATGCACTAATTTTTCATGTATTAAGCAGTAGAAATGGCAAGCAACCTCAGCTCATGAGCTTATCATCCTGTTTCTTTACTGACTATTATAGCAAGTAAGTCAGATGCAGAAGCAAACGAATTATTGCTTACTTGAGATTCTGGCAGAATCCAGTTCACTTAATTGATTAAAATTTTTGATTAAAGGAAGCAAAATTACTATGCATACTGCATTTTGCTTGCACAATGGGTGCTTAGTTGATCAATACTAATATATGCAGATTCATCTGTTCTTGGATGCATTAACTGACTCACCAACACCCAGAAGGGATGGCATTCAAAAGAGAAATGCAGTTATTCATTTCTTAAAAAAATAAAAATTAAAAAAAAAAGCCCTTCTCCCTAGACACTATGGTACATTTCTGGTTCTGGGCTTCACCACATTTCTCGTGCTTACTCATTTATTACATTTTTGGTGGTAACTTCTGCAATCATACGAAAGTCTCATGATAAATTTAACTCAGTTCATTAAATTATTATTCTGCAAGGACTACAAATGCACCAAACATCTTACTAACACATTAGTTTACACACAATACTTATAACTTTTAAAGTTTTCCTAATTTAACTGGAAAAAAAAATGTTGATGAGAGATTAATGTACCTTTTTTTTCTGTTAAATTATTGCTGCTGACAATGATTGAGTAATAGGTACACAATTGGCATTTAAGAATTTTTTAAAATAAATATATTTTCAAGAATTTTCTTCTAAAAAAGATACTCATTATGGAATTGAGTAGCAGACTATTAAAAAAATCCAAATAATGAAATTATTTTATAGAATTATTTTATAGAATAATAATAATAATAATAAAAGTATAATAAAAAATGAAAAGATACAACTGGCACCAAATCTTTAGAAAAAGGTCTTGGAAAAGGTAATAGACAGGACACCCACCATGGAAGTCAGAATGAAATACTGGTAAATCTCTTAGAGACTTCAGCATTGCCTTTTTTGCAGTCCATTTGTATGATATATGTAAATTTTGATCAATGAACAACTAGGTTATCTACGTTCTACTTGCACTAGCTTGCAAGTACAAGTAGATATTTTTAACAGACTGACATAGTTGGTAATTACCAGTGTGATGAACAAAGATTTTTGTGTTTTCCCTGCACAGAACACATGATATTAGAGATCCTGATATGTTACACAATTTAAAATGCTTTGGTATGTTAGTGAGAAAGAAAAGTTAATGGAGCAAGCAATCTAATGAGATCATCCAGCCTGTAATCTCTTCATCATTTCCATGATGAAACCCACAGTATTTTACCCCTTAGAGAAGAGCCTATGCAGAGCAGCAAAGCAGGGAGAAGAGGAAGTGGCTTCTTACTTAGGATTAAGGGCTGCAGYTGACGAGTTTCTGAGTGAAAAAGAGCATCAATGATATATGATAATGGCATAGTTTTTCTTCTGCTGTATTTCTAAATGAGAAAACTGACTCTTGCATGCTCATGTTGTGCATGGGAACAGCGAAAGCCAAGAGGGAAAAGTAGTGAGTGTTCCCAACTTGCTGTCACATGTGAAGATGCGTGTGCATGTGTTGGCAAGAAACAGGATGGGAAACAGGWTCCTCCATGCAGAAGCTGCCTTTCCTGCCTTTCCTCCTCTTAGTCATGTGCTGGAGGGCCCTAATTAAAAACGATGTTTCTCCAGTGCCCTGATGTTGATAGGCCTTTGATGCCTAATTTCTATTGTTTATGCTCATCTCAATTATCCACAGAATCACAGGATGGTTAAGGCTGGAAGGGACCTCTAGAGATCGTCTAGTCCAACCTTCCTGCTCAAGCAGGCACACCTAGAGCACGTGGCACAGGGTGGCATCCAGGAGGGTTTGGAAAACCTCCAGAGAAGGAGACTCCACAACCTCCCCGGGCAGCCTGTTCCAGGGCTCTGTCACCCTCACAGTGAAGTTCTTCCTCATATGGAGATGGAGCTTCCTATGTTTCAACTTATACCCATTGCCCTTTGTTCTATCACTGACTCCCACTGAGAAGAGTTTGGTCCCTTTCTCCCTACTTTCACCCTTCAGGTATTTATATATATTAATCAGACCTCCTCTCAACTTGCTCTTCTCCAGGCTAAACAAGCACAGTTCACTTAGCTCATTGCTCGTCTTACATTTACTAGTTACTGATATATAAGGTATTAAAAAGTGTGTAATAACAGAAATAATGTCCTTTTTTTKTTTTTGAAAAAAGTCTGTGTGACTCTGCTCTGATGGAAGCTGCTATGCCTGCAAAGCACCGTGTTGACATCCATGCCRTGTCCATGTGACCATGTACACCTGGTCCTACCAACTCATGTAGTTCCTACTACACCTACTCATTGCACATGTATCCTTTCCCTTGAGGTTTCAGCAACACTTCACTAAACCAGCAGCATACAGAGTTGAGAAATATCAGAAGTGTGCTGGCTTTAAATAGCCTTTTTCTTCTCAGTTCCCTAAGGAATGCTACAACATCTACAAACTATAAGTGAAAGCACCACGCATTTGCATGAGTATTACAGGAACTTTAAATAAAGACTGAGGAGTATCCACGGAAGATAGGCTTTAAGTTCTAGATGTTTTATTCTCTGTTTTTTTTTTTTAAAGAAAAAAAAAAAAGAGAGAGAGAGATCTTCTCTGATAAGTTGGAAACTTAAAATTCAGCATGATAGTAATGAAAAAGAAATGTTGAATTGGCTAGAGATTCAAAGTCCAGGTACACAGTTCCTAGACACTAAATTGCAATGCTGCTATTTTTTCATTTATAACTATATTGAGGTCTATATATATGTGAGTGCTTTTATATTCAACTACATAAACTACTTGGCAAAGTTACTTTTAAACTCATCCATTTCTTTCCATAAGACTATAGCACTATGGTATAAAACAGATGCAGCATTTTCTGTTGCTGGCACATCTCCCCTAAAACATTTCCTTAAAACATGCAGAGAGGAAAGGCAGAGAAAGAGGCAGAGAGAAGAGAGCAAGAGAGAGGTTATGTCAAGAAAGCCTGAGGCCTGCTCCTACTTTCCTAAATCTTTGTGTGTTTTTACTCATGTACAGATACATAAACATATACAAAGGCATTTTCACACATACCTGTGGATGTTCATGCACAGATGTGTCAGTAGGTGCATGTATCCAGGTACACAAATATGTATCTTAGCCCTGCTCCACGCACGGAAAACATGTGAACACTAGCCAAAAACCTAGTGTGTGAGCTTTACACCTATGACAGATTTGTTACTTTACTTTTCAGTCTTAAAAAAGAAAGAAATTCAAGACACATTTTTTCTTCCATAAAAAAAGTTTAATAGTTTATATTCAAATTGAATCACTAAAGTAAAAAAAATGAAGTGGGAACTTTAAGGAAAAAATTCACATATACCCTTTTATTAATGATAAAATTGGTATTGCACACTGTAGCTTGCAGCAAATGGAAAATAAATCTGTTTTTTTTTTTTTTTTTCCTTAATGAAGCAACAAATATTCAAGATTTATAGCTTTGGATTCCCTTTGTAGATCAAGATCACAATAGCAATATAGTTGTCTGATACTACATTATATACCAGTGGCTTCAAAAAAAAAAAGTGTATTTGACAATAATAGCAATAAAAAAGAAAGGAATTTTAGCAGCTTGAACATTAATTACACATTTTGTGTATGTTTTCTCAACATTATTTAAAAAGACAATATATATACTGATAAGATAATATTCCTTAAGATGAAAGGTAAGATAATTTCCTAGATATCTTAAACCTGTCCTTGCTTCCAATGTTGATATAGGCTAGATGCTTGTCATCTGCATTAGTGAAACTGTAGCTGTTTCCAAAATTAAAGTACAGCACTAGTCCCCTGGGCACTCAGATTCATTCATCTTTAATAGATGATTCTGACATACGAAAACCATATTAGATGCCCTAATGTTGAAGGATTTTGTGAGTCTATACAACCAGTGTGTCAGAACAGACTGGTTATTATCTCAGGTAAGTCAAGGCTGTGGACATGTAAGGTAAGCTCAAAGCATTAGTCAAAATTGGATTTCTTATATTTTTCAATGAGTCCAGTACTACAAGTGAGAATAACAGAAAATTAATCATGATTAGGACTGAGAAACAGGTCAGTTCTTTCCTAGTCTGCTGTTGTATTTTCTGAAGGTTTAGCTCTGGTTT